TCAAAGCATAGACATGGCTAATAGGAACCATGGAGTCAAAATTGAAAAGCAATCAAGGATAAGGAAGGTGTCAACTGCCTTTCAAAGGGTTGCTCTGAGAGGAGGAGATAGGCTGCCAGGGTCCTTTGAGGTATTCCACAAGATCATTGTAATGGTCAGCCTGCCAAGCTGGCACTTAGATGAATCCCACACCATTCCGCATGCTGAGGACCATGCAGGAGTTATAAGATACATAGAGCTGGCCCCTGCAGCTGGGGGAGGAGCCAGGGAACAGAGGGCTCTTTTTCCTAATTAGCTGTTTCCATACAGTGCACACATGACCCAAACACAGCCACCAACTGGGTCTTTGACATATACAGGCAGAAAGGGGGAGCTGGGCTTTTGTCTGCCACACATTCTTTCAACCTGCCTGTCGCCCCAAGCTGCAAAACTCAACAATGAGTCAGATGAGCTGGACCGTTTCAGAGTTTGCTGAATGGACTTAGAGGCAGGCATTGTTTCAACCTACTCAAGGCTAAGAAAAATACTATAAGAGTGAAATTGGGTTAACGTCTCTCTTTTCATAGTGTGTGTGTGTGTGTGTGTGTGTGTGTGTGTGTGTACACACACACACACACACACACACACACACACACACACACACACGCCATTTACTCCAGTTTCCAGCACATCCTAAAACAGTGTGATCGGAAAAGAAATAAACCCATTTTAATGACTAGTACATCTCAGAAAGAAATTCAAGGCATTAATAAACCACAATTGTTTTGTCCAGTCTTCCAATTTTACATTGCTTGTTAACTCAGCCCAAACGAGTGAACTACAAAGAGAAATGCCAAGGAAACAGCTGTCCCTGCGTGATGGGAGGTGGCCAGTGGCATGCTTATTTCATGGGTCAGCAAATGGAGAATAAGCGATAAGCCACGGGACAGAGGCTTCTCACTTTGTCCATGTGCATGCATGAGTACGTGTGAAAAATGATTGAATCTTTGATTTTGAGGCAATGAAAAAAAAATCTCAAGATGCCATTCAGCCATTGCTTAAGCAAAAGCAGTTCTACACATATGATCTTTCCAGAGCTACAGGTAACATGTGCTAATGCTCACCACCATGGACTGGAAGTCATCAAAAGGCCACATCTGATGGCACTGCTCAGGCGGCAGTCATCAGAGCGTTTCCATGCTCTGCTCAAAGAGAGTTTTCATCTGTAGCTGAAGCATGGGCAGGCTCAGAGAACCTAGGGCTGACGTGGAAAAAACAGCCAACAAAATGTCTGAGTAGGTTGACTCTTTACTCACGAGTAAAGAAGTAACAGGTCCTAAATAATGCTCCTGTATTTTACCACAGTGGCACATCATTGTAGGACACAACTGGAAAATGGTGATAAATCCACGGAAAGTTAGAGGGGAAAGTGTCAAATGAAAACCCAAGACAAAGCTGAGAACTGATCGGCTTCATCTGAAATTATGAGACATGAAATCACATCTGTATTTGCAGAGAAAGACAGCATGGAAGCAATTACCTAGAAGCTTTACCAACTGTTCCTGGTAGAGACACCGGGAAAACAGAGGCCAGTGTTGTGGAATTTTGAAATCTAGATAACATCTTTCCAGGTCCCACCTCCCTTGCTATGAATGATCTGGACTCAGACACACATCCTCTCTGCTAAAAGGAGACTGTGTCCTGGTGGCAGCATAATGTCTTCACTGAGCTGGGGACCAGGTTTCTGCCTGCAGAGACAGGACCTGGAGACAGACCTCCAGCACTGTCACAGTGCAGAGTAGTAAGTGAGGACTTAGGGGTGACCTAAGGCGTCAGGAAAACAAAAGGGGGCGTGCAAAAGCTTTCTTCTACAGAGTGGGCCAGAGTGCATTTCTGAAGAAATGTTAATCAAAACATCAAAAGTCAATCATTTGACAAATGAAAAAAAAACCCTGAAAAACAGCAGAAAATAACCCTAGGTATCAGTCAAGCCATTTGCAAAGGCTTAAGCTCGGGGGCCGTCTGTGCCCAGTCTTAGAATGCCCACAGCTGTGGAATTCTGCAGATCACCGTGTGGAAGTGGCAGACACTGGGGACATGTGACGAAGGGTGCTGGACCACTGGCACCCCTGCCTCCTTCAACGCTGGCAGGTCCCTCTGACAGCAAACCTCTCGGCTTCTCCTGGGCTGCTTCGCCATTTCACCTTTAGCATTCGGTGCCCTCTTGCCCTCTGAAAAAAACCTAAGAGTTGTGTCCCACCCCAACAGATGCCTTCACACTGATGTCCTTGTGGCCTCAGAGATAGCAGGTGAGACTGTGGATGACTCCACAGAGGTGCACAGAGTCCAGACAAGTGGTTGGACATTTGGACATTGTGTGTGTGTGTGTGTGTGTGTGTGTGTGTGTGTGTGTGTGTGTGTGTGTGTGACAGTCGGATAGCCTTACCGAAGCTGGGAGCACTGTGCAAGGTCATGTCCCGGATCACTCTTGTACCAAAGCAAGACCACATCAACAGGAACTGTTGCGCGACTTTCTTTAGGGACCCTTGTCTCTTGGCAGCCACCTACAAGCAAATGAATGGCTTTAATACTTCTTCATTCACCATTGGCTCTGAAAAACGAGGGAAGGCCTGTAAGCCTTCAAGTTCAAGCCTGTGAAGCAGTGATTTTTTCTTTTGTCTTTTTGGTTTTAGCAGCATAAACACACTTAATAAAATCTGATGCCAAGATGCTATGTAAGGGGCAAGTAAGGGATGCATGCCTGGGTGACTCAGGAATAGGGGATTCAGAGTCCTGTCTCTGTCCCCTCCACCTCCCAGGGTTGAGGCCAGGTCTCCTCCTTGCAACCCCAGAAGTCTATGGATGCTGAGGAACATCAGCTAGCTCACTCTGGGGTTCTATGCTAGTTAGGGTCCACAGAGACAACCAAACACCTGTAGGAGCCATGGCTGCCCCTTCCCTTTGGCTCTACCAACCTTGACAACGCATCGGTCTACCATGGTATCCAGCCATTCTATGTAAGACTCGATGGGCGACTGCTCCTCCAGCAGGTGGTCAAACTCCTGGTACACTGTAAATGAAGCAGAACCACGCACCTTCCTCAAGCTGTAGTTCCATAGAGCCATGTCCTTTAAGGCACAGAGGACTGGACTGCATGGTTCTTCATGGCCCAGCTGAGATGAAATCCTTCCAGCCCTCCCTCTGCCTCTCACCAGCCCACGTGTCTTCCCTCCCCCTCGTACCTCTCACGGCACACTACTGTCTTTATTCTGCCTCCACTACACCATTAATAGCACTGGCCAACAGCTGGTCAGGTGTCCAGTCTTCTTGCTGGTTCTTCTCTAAGGTCATTGTTTGGTGCGTTACCTGTGCCACGGCTGTTAACTTGGAAAGCCTTGCTTAACCATTAGGTCAGGGCATTACTATCTCTTGCTGTCTGCCAGGGATGGGGCACAAACAATGATCCCACTGTTTCTGGACCACAACCCAGCCTCTCGGCGCTAGGTACTGAACATATCCTAATCAAATGAAACCATCTGGTCCTCTCTCTGCCCTGTCTTCAGCTTCAGGTTAGGAAAGTAAGTGTGGAAGTGCTTGGGAATCGGTGAAGCACTGTGGGAAATAGGTACATGGCTGGGGACACTTGCATTGTAAACATCTTTTTCATTGAATAGTTTCGGTGTGGTTTTTAGACATGGAGCTAAGTAAATAAAACCACAGTTCAAGATCTGCTGTTTTCATGTGTCTGAGCAATTTTTTTCCCACGTGGGAAGGCCAGCCAATTCTCTCTAATTTGCTTGTTTGGTGACTCTGTGAAGCCAAATGGTCCCAATGCTTAGCATAAGCATGGGTTTTAAAAGTACATTGGTCTTTCTCGGATTATAAACGAGGTGTATGGCAGCTAATATTGTCACCTTGACAGAATGGAGCTAGGGCTCTGGACCTGCCTTGAGGGTTCCCTAGCTTGGGTTAGAAGACCCACCTTTACTGTGGGTGATTTCAGTCCATGGGCTGGAATCCTGAACTGAACGGAAAGGAGAAAGCAAGCTGCATGTGAGCATTCATCACTGTCCGCTTCCTGACCCTGGACTAGCTACCTCAGGCTCCTGCCGCGGTGACAACCCTGCTATGATGCACTGTAGCCTTGAACTGTGAGCCCAGATGACCCTGTCCTCATCGGCTCTACTGGGGTATTTTACCACTGCAATGGGAAAAGTAACTAACACAAGGTTCTATACCTTAATGAAGTCAAAGCTAGAAAGCAAGCGAGTTACACCGCAGAGCCCAGACCCACAGATGGCTCTGGGGTTCTTCCTCTGTGTCCAGACTACTGTGCCTTAGCTGCCAATGGTGACAATAATGGTGGTACAGCAAAAATGGCAACAGCTAACTTTCTTGAGCACTTGCCAAGTGCCAGGCACTCTCTTCAGTGACTTACATGGGTGCAGTCAGTCAGCGTTAATGTCGTGACCCCAGTGCTTAGGACTGCCCAGTGCAGAGTATGTGTGCAGCTGGTTGCTGAGTGAGTGGATGGACAAACCCAGGAGGAAGTGCTCTCATTTTTCCTGTCTGCAAATAAAGAAACTGAGGCACTTCAAGATGAGGAACTGCCCAAATGTTTCACAGCTAGTGAACAGCAGTTAAGATTCCTAATAGCTCTGTTCATCATCTGCTTCCTAACCACTGCTGTGTAGAGCACTCCTCTGCTGTGGAGCACTCCTCCACTGTGGAGGACTCCTCCACTGTGGAGCACTCCTCCCCTATGGAGCACTCCTCTGCTGTGGAACACTCCTCCCCTGTGGAGCACTCCTCTGCTGTGGAGCACTCCTCCGCTGTGGAGCATTCCTCCGCTGTGGAGGACTCCTCCCCTGTGGAGCACTCCTTCCCTGTGGAGCACTCCTCCCCTGTGGAGCACTCCTCTGCTGTGGAGCATTCCTCTGCTGTGGAGCACTCCTCTGCTGTGCACTAAGCCTGCAGTATTTGGTCATGTTTAACCCCTCTGCATTATTCTCATCTTACAGAACTAGAAACCATGATCTCCATGCACCGGAGCCAAGGTTCCAGCAAGGCCTTTTGAGCAAACAGCCCACCCTTTTCCTGAGGTACCTCTTAACACTCATTCTAGGGGTGTGCTCAAATACCAATATATGGTGATATTTTATTTGTATTAAAATGTTATTTGTATGTTAATAAATAAAGTTGCCCGGGGGTCAGAGCTATTAGCAAGCCATAGGAAAGCAGGGCAGTGGTAGCGTACGCTTGTAATTCCAGCACTTGGTAGGCAGAGCTGGGTAAGTCTCTGTGTGTTCAGGGATACAGCCATTATTGGATACACATGCCTTTAATCTTAATACCAATCATGGAAAACCTGGAGGCCTATACAGACAGGCTGGGAGGAGGCGGTCATGTGGTTGGGTTTACAACCAATGAGAAGGCAGGACAGGAACTCTATATAAAGACTTTAACACAGGGGTAGCTCTGGTTCGGAGAGGTAGGACCACCGCAGGAGGAAGGGTAAGGTTTTAGCTCTTAGCTCTGACCTCTTGGCTTTCTTCTTTGCATTGGTTCTGTGTTTCTTATTTAATAAGAAGGTTGGATACATCTACATTTGGCGCCCAACGTGGGGCAAGAGTTTCCACCTAAAAACTGAGAAAAAAGATTCTAAAACGGAGCTAAAAACAGTTCCTAATTGTCTCTCTCAAATGAGCGGCAGCTGCTGGTTTGAGCTCCTTGTGGGTTTCTGGTGTGCGCGCTCCACCTGCAGTTTGGCGGGAATGAGGCCTCTGTAAGTGGCACATTAAGCTGCATGGTGGATTTAGCCTTTGCTAGTACAAAACAAAAAAAGAGGTTTCTGGACTACATGCTGCTTGGATAAAAGCATAGACCCACGATAGCTCCCAGAGCTGGTGGTAAACGTAGCCATGTTGGGAAGCTGAGGTGGGTGGAACCAGCAGCCACAGCTGCTGCAGTTTAAAGCAATAGATTCACAATAAGACAGATTCAGATGTAATAGTTTACAATGTGTGTAAAATATACGTAGGCTTGAAAGAGACAAAAAAAGGTGATATATACAGTTATAGAAACAAATACATAGTTTAAAAAATAAAGTCTTTAAAGAGACAGTAAAATTAATATAAAAAGTAAGCCACGTGAAGATGAATATTACACAGAAAATCTGGATTGTGTTGTCTTTGGGATTTTTAACTGCAGAAAAACATTTGATTGTAAAAGCTGTTGAGTTATGCCAAAATGTATATTTTAAAGATACCTTGACTTCAAAATTTGGATATAAGGATATGTTGCTTTGGAAAAGAGTCTCTTTTGTTTCCACAGAAAGCCAGAGGCTATGGATTTGTTCAAGATTAAGATACATCAGGTTTGACCAGCCAAGACCCCCTGAAAGGTCTCCGATGACACCATGGCCCAGATGATCCAACATCCAGAATGGTTTCAAGGCAACTGGCTCAGACGATACAGCCTCACGGACTACTCCATAATTCTAAAATTTTCTTTGTGTCCCCATAAGATACAGCGCCCCCCTCCAGCAGGAAGTAGTAAGAGAAGCTACGCCCAAATTCCCAAATTATATGTAATTTTACTTTGTTAAGGTTAAAACCTTCCTTTTTGAAAAAAAAAGGGGGAAGTGCTGTGGGATGTTCTGTATGGCAAATGTGTTGCTAATTAGTCAATAAATAAATCACTGATTGGCCACTGGCTAGGCAGGAAGTGTAGGCAGGACAAGGAGGAGAATAAAGCTGGGAAGTGGAAGGCTGAGTCAGAGAGACACTGCCAGCCGCCACGATGAGAAACAGCATGTGAAGATGCCGGTAAGCCACGAGCCACGTGGCAAGGTATAGATTTATAGAAATGGATTAATTTAAGCTGTAAGAACAGTTAGCAAGAAGCCTGTCATGGCCATACAGTTTGTAACCAGTATAAGTCTCTGTGTTTACTTGGTCGGGTCTGAGCGGCTGTGGGACTGGCAGGTGAGAGAGATTTATCTTGACTGTGGGCCAGGCAGGAAAACTCCAGCAACACCAATACATGTCAGAGCTAAAGTGAGCCACTCAGGTTCTACATCACAGATGCAATGGTGACCCTGACAGCAAGACTTTGCAGATGTCAGCTGGTTGTGGTGAAAGTGAGGTGCAGCATGCAGGTGCCCCCACCCCTCCTCAGACTGACTTCACGAACTTTGCTCCTGTCTCTTAGGAGGTACAGGTATGACACCTATGTACTGGGCCATCCGCCTTTGGGCTTGGCATTCCTTCCTGGCATTGCATCATACAGCACTGTCTGCAGCAGAGCTGTACATCAGCTTTGGACTCGCCATGGACTCTGGGCTCTGTGTCAGAAGGGCAGTGTCTATCCCAGTCACTGCCTGGCTGTTAACACAGAGCCTGATCCAGGATAGACATCCAGTGAGGACCAGCTGGGCTGAACTGAACCACAATATAATTCTAGCTTCAAATGACACCATTCTATCCTGCATCTAAAGGAACCCAGAGAACCCAGAGAGTCTTTCTCAGAGAGAGAGGCGGCAGTGGCGTCCATGGTGCTCCAGCATGGGGCTCAGAGCCTGGTCCCTTCAACCAGCTCTGCTGATTGTGTTTCTCCCTAAGTCTGGTTCACATTTTACTTCCCACAAGAGGCTCTAAGGGGAGAGGGAAGCCAGTGTAAAACTATGAGTGTTTGCTAAAACTGAGAGGCAGGGTAACTGGTGGGTCTCTGCTCCTCAGACATTATCAGACGCCAGGTCCATGCCTGGCTCACTGGGAGGCCCTGGGACATAGTGACCAGTGGTTTCCCACGGGCTGTAAGGGTGCTTGGAAACAGGCTTTCTCTGGGTCTAGCTAAGAATAGGTGAAACAGAGCCCGAATCCAGCCTGGAAGCTGGGGAGATGGATTGGTGGGTGGTTTGAGGGTGTGGGTCTGGATCTCTAGACCTCACATTAAAAACAAACAAAACCAGCTGTGTGTTGAGCAGCACACAGCTGTAATTTCACCACTGTGATAGTGAAATGGAGGCAGAGACAGGAGACTTCCCAGGAGCTTGGTGTGCTGGCTAGCCATACGTCATCTTGACACAAGCTGAGGTCATCTGAGAGGAGGGAAACACAATTGAGAAAATGCCTCCATAAGATCTGATTGGATGGCATTTTCTTAATTAGTGATTAATGGAGAAGGGTCCAGCCCATTGAGGGTGGTGCCATCCCTGGGCTGGAGGTCCTGGTTCATGAGAAAGCAGGCTGGGCAAGCCATGGGGAGCAAGCCAGTAAGCAGTGTTCCTCCACGGCCTCTGCATCAGCTCCTGCCTCCAGGTTCCTGCCCTGCTTGAGTTCCTGTCCTGACTTCCTTCAGTGATGGACTACAATGTGGAAGTGTAAGCCCAATAAACCCTTTCCTCCCCAAGTCGCTTTGGTCACGGTGTTTCATCACAGCAATAGTGACCCTGACTAGGACACCTGGTGTAGGCCGTGATGAACAAGAGACCCTGTCTCAAACAAGGTCAAAGGTGAAGGCTGAGCTTGTCCTCTGAGCTCCATACACATGCTGCGGCATATGTGCAACTACACACACACACACACACACACACACACACACACGCACACGCACACGCACACGCACACGCACACATGCACGCACGATGAAAACAAACACAAAAGAATAATAGAAAGCACTTGGAAAGATCCTGCCCCCTCTTGAGCTCCGTGGCATTTTACAACTTTGGTTCCCTCTGCTCCTTCTCAGCAGGAGCAGCCCTGGGCTGGGGAGGCTGACACAGGTCTAGGTTCAAGGCCTAGCACTGTCGCATGTGGTCACAGGACCCTGGGGAAGCCCCATCAACTCGATGGAGCTGAGTTTTCTCAAATGTAAAGTGAGAGTGACGTGAGACCGTCCCTCGTGAGGCTGCGAAGAATTGATGGTATCACACATGGTGGTTTGAGAGAGCACTTGGCAGAGAGCAGGCAGCTGCTACACTGCATTATTAAATCCGTGGTTTTTGCTAAGACTCAACAGTAGACAAGTGGGCAGCTGTGCAGAGAAGGAATAAGAACCCGAGTTAAGGCCAGGGTCTGAACCCAGGAAGGAAGTCTCATGGAGGGCCACAGGTGCAGATATTTAGAGCTCTGTTGGCCTTTGAGAGGCCCTAAAAGGAAGCACTCTCTAATAGGGAATCTCAGAGAATTTTGGTTCATAAACAGCCCAGGCTTAGACCAGCTGGCAGAAGACGGGCCCCCAGGACAACAGTGTGGAGGAGCAGACCCTGTAACTCAAGAGGCCTGGGCTTTTCTGAATTAACTCCTCCTCCTGATGGTCATTGGAGTGACGATGTAATTTACCCCACACAGAAGGTAGGGGTCTTGGACCATCTGTTGTTAGCATACTATCAGCACCACCCTCCCCGGAATCTCTGAGGGGTACTGACTACTCTACCTGACAGCATGCCCCCTGCTGCCCTTCCGAGGAAAGGATGGCTGGCCAAAGTGAGGTGTGCCCTGAACAGTCAGCTGGGCTGAGCTCAAAGGAGGACCAGAAGTGTCTAGAGGTGATGGGTGATATTTTCTGTTCCCTTGTGTTTCACTCTTGGGAGCAAACATCTTGCCCATATCAGGGCTGACTGCACTGGAATCTTACTTGCTTGTAGGAAATCTTTGTCCATATGGCCATGAACACACGTTCATGGAAATAACTCACCATCCATTCACATCTTCTCAAACTTTAATGTGCCTGAAAGGGTCACCTACTGACATGCTGGTGACGGGGAGTGGGGTGTGTGTGCAACTCATGGTCATGTGACCTTCCACTGACACAGGCATCACATCCGGCTGGCTCTACACTGACATACACCAAGGCAGGCCACAAGTCTCAGTTCCCACTCTCTGTCACTGAGCTGGAGGTATGCATGGCATGTAGGGTCACATGCAGGGTCTTTTGTATGACATGTGTGCTACCCAACTGCATCAGCCATGTTGACACATAACTTCTTAAGTAAATTAGCTCTCCTGTCTGGGCCGACCCATTTAACAGGAACAATAAGAAGAATGGGATCCAGGGAAGGGGACAGGGTGGGAACACCACGTGAATATTTATCAAGATACTTTTTCCCTTTTAAAACCAGAAACAGAAGGACCACCCCCCACCCCACCCCCCGTGGGACACCTTACACTGGATGATGAGTCTGCGGTGCTCATCTCGAGAGTCCTCCATGGTGTAGAGCGTCTGTTTGGTGATGCTATTCAGGTCTACATTCCTCCAGTCCTCCAGCATCTGGAACGTGATGTCTGCACTGTGGATCACCGTTCGAGAGGCCTGTAATCCAATCCAGCCGCCTTGTCAGCACATGTCCAGTTGAAGGCCCTCTCCTCTGTGCCCCGTGTGCCTCCTGAGCGGGGATGCTTATCATACTCTGTAAACTACTCTGAAATCCAGGGAAACTCGATTTCAAGAAACAATGGTGATGCCCTAACTCAGAAAATTCAGAGAGACACTCTCTCTTCCTGAGGCTTTCTCCTCTCTCTTCTTTTTCTCCACGAAGGTGACCTGGGCCAGGCCAAACCCTGCTGTTGTTCCCAGCCCCTTTGGTCTTCACCCCAACAACGGGATGAGGCCCAGAGATCTGGTAGCTTTCTGGCTCAAGCTCATAGGAAGGAGTTCTGTGTTTAATAAACCTCTGTGCCTCTAGGGCCAGAAAAGTGGCAGGACCTGCTGAGGAACTGCTCTGGCCACCCTGGGCCTAACGGGTATCCAGAAATTTCACAATGTAGACTTTTCACATGAATATATTATCGTGCATTTTGGGTTCTTATTCTTTGTGCTTGTTTTTATATAGTTAGGAGAGTGAAACAAATGTGAATAACATAGAAAAATAGGAGACATTAAGATACAGGTGTGTGTGTGTATGTGTGTGTGTGTCTTTTAAAACCGTAACTATCCCAGCAAACTGTTGCTAGTGAACTGAAATTTACAAGCTGGAACGATACTAATAAGAGCAAAGGAAAAGATATCTAGGATATTTATTTTACGCTTATATTTTTAAAATGTCTTTTAATAAAATTTTTGTAGAAATTGAAAACAGCCGGGCGGTGGTGGCGCACGCCTGTAATCCCAGCACTTGGGAGGCAGAGCCAGGCGGATCTCTGTGAGTTCGAGGCCAGCCTGGACTACCAAGTGAGTTCCAGGAAAGGCGCAAAGCTCCACAGAGAAACCCTGTCTCGAAAAACCAAAAAAAAAAAAAAAGAAATTGAAAACATACAAGAGCATCCTTGATCTCTGTCTCTAAGACTTGTCAGCTTCCAGGCAGAGGTAACTACATTCCCTGCCCTACTCTATGCAAACACAAGTCAACTCCACAGAAATAACTGTCGCCCTCTCTGGCGGTCAGAGACACCCAGAGTGTCTGAATGTTTGATCATGAAAACAGCAACATGTGAAGGTCACGTGCCGTGAACTCAAGCATACGGAGCTCATACCCAGCTCTCAGCTTGCCACCCTGGACTCAGTCTGAAAGGGAGACACAGCGGTCCCTGCCTCTTGATGCTCCTCATGATGGCATAAAGTATAGTGTGTAGACCGGAAGCAGGACTCTATGGACGCACTGTCGTTACTGAGGTTGTTTTGCTTTGCACAGACTGTGCTCACACTTCGGAACCTGTGCACACTGTGTTCCCACAGACTGAAGCTTTCTTTTCCCACCGTGTCCCAGCAGCCCTGCTGTCCTGATGCTTCTGCCTCAATGTGACATACATGGAGAGCCCTTCTCCGACCAGTTTATCCCAGTTAAACACTCGGTATTCTGTACTTTCTCCCATTTCTACCCCATTTCCTTCACAACATGCTTGCTTATTTACCTGTTTATTTATTTATTCACTTACTGACTTGTCTTCCTGATGAAGACAGGACCACTTAACACAGTGTCTGGCACATGCAGCAGGCTTACAAAATGATTTTGTGAAATGAGTGGCCGAGATGAGTGCCTAGCTGCCCGCCTGACTAGTGTGACTAGTGTCTGAGAGAGTCTCTCCTTGGGTTTTGTTTAATTCGACTTGCTCTGTGTTTAGTAAAGCTCACTGGTTTATTAGCTCAAATGTACCGTATTTCATTCCTAGAATTAACACCAGTCCAGAGTTTTGGCTGGTTCAGGAATGTGTATGGGAGCTGTCTAATGAGGTTGGAAATGTGGTGTTTACTAACTGAATTTCGTGCTCTATGTGTGCAAGGTGGAGAGGGTGTGTGTGTGTAGGTGTGTGTGTGCATGTTCGTGAGTGTAAGAATACACATGCACGGGCTGGAGAGATGGCTCAGAGGTTAAAAGCACCGACTACTTTTCCAGAGGTCCTGAGTTCAATTCCCAGCACCCACATGGTGGCTCACAACCATCTATAATGAGATCTGGCACCTTCTTCTGTATACATAATAATAATAATAAAAAGAATACACATGCACACACACGCTACACATGCACACAAACGCCACACATGAGTGCAAGTACAGGAATAGAGGTCTATGTGTGCATTAAAGGGGCAAAATCCTTCTTAAAGTATCTGAGCCCCTGAGGAAAACACCAAAAGCATGTGTATGTTTCCTGGTAGGTCTAAGGCTCCCTTTTCCAAATATAAGAGAGAAAGAGAATGGGGTTGGCACATAGTCTCAGAAATACAGGACAAGGAGTGTGTCTCGGTTTTCCTAATAATCATGTTCTTCCCTAAGCTCCGTCATTTGTCAGACTCTCCCCAGAACAACACCCAGGAGTTGTCTTTATCACAGCTAGCCCAACCTAGAAAGGGTCCCCTCTGTTCCTAAACCATCCTGTGTGCCTTCAGTGACAGGCACAGGGTAAGAACAGTGAGAGGTGTGAGGATTCCCAGATGGAGACTTCCTTGGACCACTCTGAATTAGAAAACCCCACTCTTGCCTTGTTGTTGTGTAACCAGAATCCCCCAGCACCACGGCACTCTGCAGGAGTGATGGCAGATCTGAGTGTGTAAAGGCAGTTGATATGAATGAGTGAGGTGGATCAGCTCTGACAGAGAACTGGGGATGAGGAGGAATGGCCATCCTTGCTGAATGCTGACTACTGACCAGGTTACATGCTGCTCTGGGCAAGCTGCTACTTCTTGAAGGGTTTCTACCTGTGACTAGGGTGCTCGGATGTCATTCTGAGTGAGTGAGACAACCGGCATCCACGGGGGAGAGACCAAGGGCGCCACATAAACAGCTGCACCCCTAAGTGTTGATAGTAGTTGACAAACCCAGCAAGTTATTTGAAGGAAGCACAAAATTGGGAACCCTGATCATATCCAAAAGGTTCGGGGGTGACCAGTGTTGTAGACAAGTTACAACTTTAGACACGGGCTGAGGTGTTTAGTTCCTTACGTATAGAAACTAAGCACAGAAGAGAGAGAGAGAGGAGGAGAGAGAGAGAGAGAGAGAGAGAGAGAGAGAGAGAGAGAGAGAGAGAGAGTCCTGATGAGCCACAGATTGATGCCACAGGAAGTTATCCTTGTGGATGATGCCCTTCCTTCTCAGCAATGACTCAGCAGTGGGTTAACAGAAATGAGAGACAACGGCTACCTGGCAAAGATGATTCAGCGATGTTTGCCTTCTCAGAATTTGGGAGAACCTTCTTGACACTGCAACAAGAAAACAGGAAGCTAGAAACATTTGCAGGCTTGATATTCCAACCAAGAGCAGCTTTCAAAAAGGAGTTCTCATTTTCTAACTTTGCCTCACCGCCCTATCTGTTTTTAGGTACTCCCTGGCAGACTCCTGCGCCTGACTCTTGTCCTGTTTTGGCTCCAACAGCCATTTCCTAATGATGACATTTAGGGTACAGATTTCAAAGTCATGCGCATGCTACACTCGCAGGTGTGAGAAATGGCCGCATCAATCACCCGTGAGGAAAAGCAATTATTCACTTGTCTTTCATTTTGCTAATTGCAAGCTCCATCACTGCCTTCCAGATCATCGCAGAAATCAAACGAAAGCTTTGAAGAAGCCCCTTTAAAACATGATGCGTCTCATCGGAACCGTGACTGACCTCAGTGCTGTGTGGCCAGGGGTGCTCCTGGCGTGGAACCTGGGCTACCCCTGCAAGGGAATTTGGCATTTATCATTTGTCATTTTGGCCAAATGGCCTCTGGGACCTGTTTGTGGGTTTTGATTTAGGAAGGTCTGTTTGCCTATCTGCCCTAATGGTCTGATGATTTGAAGTGAAGGGACCGCTTATCTCTGGATTTTTAAAAGACGTTTCCTGTTCATGGACTTCATTCTTCCAGTCTCGGCCTGGGAGTGGGAGGCGTTTGCTTCCACGCTCTTGCACATTCTGCAAACACTCAGGCTCCCTGGGGAGGACCGCTTCCTCCAAGCATGCACAGGTGGAAGACCCAACCCACCTCCTCCTTGCCGCAGACTTTGAACGGGTTTGTTTTGCTGGTGTAATTAAAACGGGCACGGGGCATTCTTCTCATTAATTTCTGAACTGGTCATGAAATCGTCAGAAATTTCCCCATCTAATTTGTACTCAGAGCTGGCTTGGTTTGAAAAATAGTGTGTGGGGTGGAGGAATGGGGGGGGGGGGGGGCTGTGTGTGCGGGGAGATGAACTTCTAATTTTCCAGGCCGATCAATTGTTAATCCTGCTCCTTAATTACTTTTTCTTTAACTTTGTGATGTGGAATTTAGTGCTGGAGAAAAGAAAAGAACTGAGAGCCGTGAAATAAAGCGGGCTTTATCAATAGGTGATGGGCGCTGCAGGCGGCCTCAAGGCGTCTGAAAGGGCTTCTTTGCCTGCAGAGAAAGCGTAATTTGATCTCCTTCATTTCACCCACTGGTACTTGTTTTAGGCAAGGACTGCAAGCTGCATTCAAACGGACTTTAAGAAACATATTTTAAAACCTTGTTTTGCTTAAAACCGCCTCATCTTTGTTCAATAGCAACAAATGTGTGTTGTCCATGAGTCTTCACTACGCTCAGACCCATCAAGACAGAAAAACGGGGCCAGCCTTCTCAGACTCAGCTAAGTGCTGGGGACTACAAGGCACTACTTAGCCAAGCAAAGATTCATGGCTCCAGTCCCCCTTACAAGAAATATTAATTTGGCTTTCTAGTTAGGCAGAGAATATGTGAGGTTCTTACACTAATTACAGCCTTTCATGGGCAGGAGCTTCAAGGAAACCTCAGAGCACTGACGAGTTTGTGTCTCCAAATCACCAGCTGTATGGCCATGTGGCT